TCTAAAATATTTCACTATTTTTCTTCAATTTTACTTCAATATTTGCCTTTAGGTAAGTGTATCATTGATTTTGTTTCACCTGTAGACTAACATAAATAAAAATATACTTCTGAGTGTCAGAATATGTTTACATTTTCAGTGGCCATAATATTCAATATTATTTTTAAATGTTAAGATTCCATCTATTCTACTGTTCATAAATGGAACCAGATCCTGATATATCAAATGTTATAACCTGTAATTAGCTTGCAAGATTGTCACAGTTCACTCAAGTTCATTTCATGCTTGGTTCTGGCTTGTAATACAACTGGAATTGACCTCTGAGATTCATAATGGTTGCATTATTATTCCGTGGAGAACTTCAGGACATTGAAAAATGCTCCATAGGTCAGGTCAAGATATTATCCAGATATGATGATATAACTCCCCTATATAACAAGCTCACTCCACCTCTTGTATTCTGGGAGTGAAACACTAAGACTTTTATGTTTCTATGATGACAATTTTAGCAGCTTGTGACAATTGCTCAAATCAATAAAACAAAACATTTAGTAATACTTTCATTAGTGACATTATTTTGTATAATAATTACGAGGAAAAAAATAATATGAAAGCATGTTCACAAATGGTCTCCAACAAGACATAGTATTTACATGATAGTACATTTTGCATATAAGAATTGTGCATAGTTGTAGACATGCTTATCCCATTTTCAATATAATGGAATACTGAATAATGTCACTTTTTGTATTGTAAATATAAGTTGTGTAAAACAAAATTATGACGTGTAAATGTTGCATACAGTATAGTAAGCTTGTCAATTTATACATCATTTTTAATGGGAAATGTAATGGGAAATTTATTAATCAAGATTAAAAATCTTACTTTTTATGCTTTATAAAAACATTTTGATGGTCACAGCAGTACTAACAGTAGTATATACAGTAGTACATCAGCAATTCCAAACCTCCTTCTTGAGGTATTGTGCATGTCATGTCTAAAATACAGCCAAATGATTACTTGTTCCATTCGTTTTTAACTCCTTTCACCACCATAAAAACAAGCCTTGCATTTTAATTTACATTTATAAGGTTCTGAAGGGGAGAATGGAGATGGTAAGGAGTCAATAAATTATTTGCTCATTGGACACGGATTTATAGATTCTTTAGTTTGATTTTCATAAAATCTTCACAATTTTTCCCACAAATCTTAAATTAGTTTACAATTATTTTCTGTGGATTTAGACATATTGATTTTCTACTGTATTTATCTGTAACTGTATAATAATTACTACTGTAACTACTGTTTTTTTCCACTAGGGTATTTATTTTAGAAGACTGTGATCCATTTTGCACTATCCAATGTGCTTAAATTGCTTATTGGCTGCAATAGATTATAAACAGAGCAATGGGAAGTGATATTTTCTCTCAGGATTGTACCTGAATGCTTTATGCAAGAAAACCAGTCTGTGTTTTTAAGAACAATTGACAGATTTTTTGCTATCACATTCACAAGCCCACAGATTTCCAAAAAATATATCTATATGTATATATATTTATATATATATACCTCTGAAAAAAGGAATTGGGGAAAGATGATGTTAAAGCTAATTACTTTTTTCTTTAAAATACATTCACGTGACAAAAGTTCC